TCTCTCTCTCTCTCTCTCTCTCTGTGGAACAGGAGGGAGGAGGGTAAGAGGAAGAACCGAGAGGAAGAAGCAGAAGAAGAAGAAGAAGAAGAAGAAGAAGAAGAAGAAGAAGAAGAAGAAGAAGAAGAAGAAGAAGAAGAAGAAGAAGAATCTCTCCCCTCTCTCTCTCTTGCTGAGGATGATGATGCCAACAGATACTACCATGGTATCCTTAGCTGATGCAGGTCAAAGTCGAAGGACAGCCCCGGGCTGATGACATTGTGAAGAGCAAGCTATGGCGCCCAGGTTTGTAATATCATATGAGAATACAACCTACTCTCCTAGCTCGTCTAACACTGAACTACCTCGCCCGGCATCCAGCACCAGGTAGCCAGACTGAATGCTCCAGCTCTGTGTTCAAAGGGCTGGCGTTGGCCCGGCTATATACTGCTGAGCCTACCGTAGATGTGCCCTGGATTCGGTCTGGGGCCATCCAATCTAAGTCACGATCACCGGTCCTAGATGGAGGCTCTAGACCTGGTCTAGTCTATTGGGCCTAGAAACAGCCAGCCCTGCCGGACGTCCAGATGGCCCTGCTGATGAAGCAGTACATGTCCAGGAGCGGACAAGGGCTGGGCCAGTTGTTATCAGACAAAAACCTGGTTCAACCCAGATGCTTACAAAACGTCTGCTGGGACTCAACTCAGCCTCCGGCCAAAACGTGGGACCTACTACCTCCCTGGTCCGAGCAGGCCTTATCAGTAGGTGCGCTGACACTCTGCGTGGTCACAGCCAGCAGGGCCTGGCTGAGTAATGCGCAATTGGCTGCCCACATCTGATGACATGGTCGACAGCTGACCCACAGATCCTGCTCTGCGCCAGGATCAATGCGGACTTCGCCGCGTCTCTCAGGGTGGGGGTAGCAGGTGGTGATGGGAGTTTGTGGGCGCATTTTGAGATGGCTGCAACTGGGGTCTTACAACAAAATGTGGACAACTGGCTTTCAAGTAGAGAGGAGTATCGGCACCTGCCTTAGAAGATGGTGGGTGAGAGGTAAGGATTGGCCGGAGGTCGATCGGGGGGCAACTTCGTTGGTCAAATGGCTGGAGGACACGATGGAACGAACGCTGAATACCGCTTGGGAGCTTGAGGAGGGGGTGGATCCACAGCTGGACGATGCTATCTCCCACCAGTGCCGTGATTAGTTCGCCTCTTCTCTACCTTTGTCACATTTCTGGATATTCATCCTGGCATCTGCGACAACTTTTTTGTGAGCCTGACTATATGCATTCTTGTGATGTTGTCAGCTTCTCTTGACTTAAACTTTCTGTTCATTATGTATTTGTTCGAGTCCCTGGCATCTGAGACAATTTTTTGTGAGTCTGACGATAGTATCTCCCGCCATCATCTCTGTCACAATCACTACAAGGACATGGTCTCCGCATCCATGTGTTTAGAGAACTGTCCCTCCGTTCCTGACTGCAGGCACCCGCCACATCTGGACACTCACTATATGTCCATTTTGGCGCCCATGGGCGCTATACTAAATGCTTGTGGTGAGCGTTCTTCCTGCCTGCATTTTGGCCTGCAATCGACATGCCATTTGTAGGGGGTGTATGGTGGACACGCTCAATGCCAGCCGTCGTGGCAATTGCTGTACTGAGAATGCTCAGCTAGGTCTTCCATGTGGTCATCCCCCTGATCCTTACAATCAATGTCCATTCTGTCATCGAGGACTGATTCATTCTTGAGCCGTTTCTTATCCTCTCCTTTGCCTTCATCTTCATTCCACACTCTGTACTTTACTACTTTCCCTTTGTTGTTCTTTGTTTGCCGTCTCTCCATCTCTCTTCCGTGTTCATCCCCTCCCCTCTTACTCTGCCTCTTTCTCACAGTGTGGGCAGCTGCCGCTCAACTTCATTAACGTAGCGAGCCTTGTACGTGAGAGGCACAGTGAAGGGGGAGTTAAAAGAATAATCAGAAAAAATGAATGGTTTCAGTGTGCCCTTCATGTTGGACTTGTTTTTTTTCTTTTTTTTTAACCATTTGTTTCGCAATGTGCGCTCTTATAGTCCATAAATATGTCACAAAATATATATATATATATATATATATATATATATATATATATATAGTATATAAACATATATATCGTCAAACAGAGACGCCCGGTACACCGTAGGCAGAGAGGGAGAAGAGGACAACAAACAAGGGGTTGTGACAAACTGTTTCGTCGGAGTTTCACCGACTCATCAGGAGGTTGAACCCTCAACAGTCTGCAGTATCCCCTAACTGATTACACTGTAAGCGATAATCCACCTTAGCCCTAGCTGTGGTTTAGCATCAACAACAGCCCGACAACTGATACCCTGAGGTGGGCACCAACCACTGCCCACTGCAGCAGTTTCCACTGCAGCAGTTTTCGCTGCTGCGGTTTCCACTGCTGCGGTTTCCACCGCTGCAGTTTCCACCGCTGTAGTTTCTACATCTCCGGTTTTCATTCCGGTACTGCAGTTTCCACTGCTGCGGCCTCCACTGTTGCGGCTTCCACTGCTGCAGTTTCTACTCCTGGAGAGAGAGAGAGAGAGAGAGAGAGAGAGAGAGAGAGAGAGAGAGAGAGAGAGAGAGAGAGAGAG